AGCTTCATCCAGAGCAAAAACTCTGAACCCCCTTACAGGAGTCTCCAGCTCCCCAGAACTTCCTAAGGCTTCCTGAGCAGATGTAGGCTTGAAGGCACGTGGCGGCTTCAGGTGGAGCCTAAGCCAGATGTCTGTCTTTGGTGACATTGTCACATGAAAAGAAATTTCAAAAGCACTTCCTTTCATCCCTTATCACACCCAGGACCAGTCTGGTCTGGCAGTGTGCCCATGGTCCCTAGGAAAGAGGCCACTGTCAAGGCTGCCACTGGGACAGTATTTATAGCCTGGTAAGTGATAACTCGACATCCATAGGCCACTCATTGCAACCAGACAGGTATCTGCTTGTTTATTTTGTCTCTTTGTGGGTGACTTTAAATTCTACCTCATTTTATCTACAGAAGGACATTCCACAGATGTCTAATCTTAAATTGACTTTGAAGAAGAAAGTTAGAGGAGGGTGTATACTACCAAAAAAAAAAAATTGAAAAGAAAATGTGGGGCTGGGATGTAGCTTAGTGGTAGGACACCGGCCTAGCTTGTGCAATGTCCTGGATTCCATCCCCAGCAGTGCCCAAAACCAAAACCAAAGACAAAAAAAAAATTTTATTCATGTAATCTTAAGATTATAAAGTCTTGTTTCTGCCTAAAATTCATTCCCAAAGACCTTTCTAGGATAAGAATGCTGCATGTTTAACCAGAAACATACAAACAGAAATGGAAAAAAGGAAAAGAGTAAGAATGAAATTAAGTTCTCAAAATATGACTTCAAAGAAATCAAAACACTTTTGTAAACAGATGTGACTTGTGTTTGGAAGTGGCACTTGACCAACACACCTTGTACTTGCAACAATTTACTTGTAATTGATCATCTTCAAAAAAAAGTCAGCAAATATCACCCAGTAGTTAAAACCTCGTCACATTTTCAACTCAGAAGGGAAAAAAGTCTGTTTGTGGTTGTAGCATATTTATAATCTGAAGTGTATTCATATTTAAAATCTGAAGTCTAACTTTGTGTCTGCATCCAGGAAACATTTAGTGAGCCCTCATTATATGCCATGAATTGCCCAGGACCCTGAAATACAGGGGTAAACAAAACATAGACCCTGTCCGGGTAGAGGACACAGACCAGCTGGCCAGCGGAGGATAATCACATCACCCCTGCATTAGTCAGCTTTCTGTTACTGTGATGAATACTTGAGACAAGTAAACTTAAAAAGAAGAAAGGTTTATTTGGCCCCTGTTGCTCTGGGCCTGGGGCATCACAGTATATCATGACACAAACATGTGGTGGAGGAAGCTGCTTACCTCATGATGGCTGGGAAGAAAAGAGAGGAAGGAAGGGGCCCAGTATTCTGTTAGGGCATGCACCCAATGACCTAACTTCCTTCCACTAAGCCCCACCTCCTACCAGCACCATAGGCTGAGGACCCAGCTTTCAACACATCGACCTTTGGGGAACCCTTTCAAACCATAGCTATACTCAATTCAGCCAATCACAGATGGGGGCAGGGTTACTCGTTTGTAGTCTTACTTGGGTTTAGGACTTATTCTCTAAATTGTGTGCCTATGACCTTGGAAGGTAAGTCAGTGTGTACTACTGATTCTTCCACACATTTTTCACAGGGGAAGTCTGAACCTCCCACATAGAAATTATGGGGTGCCTGGTGAGTGAACTGTGCCTAAAATTTAAATGACAGTCTAAATGTACTGCCAGAGAAGCAGTGTGACATCCCATGAATACTGGTCCTCCCAGGAGAGGGAGAATGCTTTAAATCCTACAGACTCCCACATTACTTCTCTGAACTCAGATGATTGCATGTGTAGGTAAATAGGCTAAGAATCGAGTCTCCTTCCCACCTGTGACTCCCAACATCTCACCATCTGTTTGCAAGTCCCACAGAAGAATTAATTCTACGAGTGGCCCATGCTTAGAGACACCCAGTGATGTGGTTCTTTATTGTAAGTTTCACTACATGTACATGAGACTTTTCTACATGGCTAACCCTTTAGCATGGAGAAGTGAGTTCAAGTTTCAGTCGTGTGAGTTTGGGTCCCTGGCATATCTCTGCCCTTCCCTGTGTGGCCAGGAAACTCCTGGGCTCTAACCTAAGGGGTCTATAATAATAGAGTTTTTCCTCCAAACTGAAGTAGAGGAAAAAGCACCTATGCCTTGGGCACGGACCAGGTGTGTTTTTGTTCCTCCTCCCAGAACATACAGGAAGTCTCAATACATCTTTGTTAAACAAGCAACTGAATAAGTGACCACAGGGTGCCCAGTGTCCAGAGAAATCAGGGAAGTTGGATTTGGAAAGTGACTTATTCTTTGTGGTGGGTAAGAAACAAGATCAGCGATCCCATTGTGCTTGCTTAGGGATGGTTAAAGAGCAAGGCAGTGACCAGAGCCCAGAGGAAAGGACTAGGTGGCCACTGCCAAGATTGGTGTCTGTGACCATGCTGTCCTCTTGGATTTCCTCTCCATGAGCTGGGATCCAGAAGCCCCCTCATCTGGTAAATCTGTCATGTTTGGTTTTATCAGACCAACACTGTCTTGGTGGCAGCCAGAGGCTCGCGATGATCAGGTCTATCACCATGGCATCACAGAGGGCTGGGATTGTGCCACTGGGAGTGCCCCTAACTATGCTGTGGACCTGGTGCTTACACAGCCCACCCTGAGAGCTGTGTGTCAGCAAGGGCTCTTTCCCAGAGCCCAGCCATGATTAGTGGGTGAGATGCTGTCTTAGTTTTCTTATTGCTGAGACAAAATACCTGATACCCAAAGTTAAAGGAAGAAAGGTTTATTTAGCTCACAGTTTGTAGAAGTTTCTAGTCACAGTTGGCTGATTCCAAGGAAGGGTGGCATGGCAGAGGGGGATCACAGAGGAGAAACAGTTCATGGTAGGCAGAAAATAGTCAGCAAAGCAGTGAAGTAGTGAGGCAGCAACAGCAACCATCTTTCTGTCCCTTATATTCTGTCCGGGCTTGCCTGCCTTTAGTTGGGTAGCACTCACACCCAGGATCAATCCCAGCATCATATCCTTAATCCCCGCATCACATACTGTAGATCCAGCCACCTCTGAAAAGCTCCATCTATGACTACATGAGGCTTTGGGGGGACATCGAGACAGAAGCCATGACAAATGTCGAACTCTTCATCCCAGTAGGCAACCATTTCATGACTTCCAGCAAAGTGCTTTCCCACATTGCCTGACTGATGCACCAAGAGTCATTCACTTGGGCTTGAAAGAGCAGAGTTCACCTCCTTCTCGGACCGGAAGTGCGGCCTGGTGTGCACAGCACCTGGAAAGTGCTGTGAGGTATCCTAGGGAAGCCAGGGCTCAGCAAGGGATGAAACCTCCCGAGGTGCTTGGTTCCATGAGTCCACATTCTGCTGTATTTTGTAACAGGGTGTTAAGCAGATTATGAAATATCATCTGAGATATTTTGTACCAGGTAAAAAGCCTTTTACTTCAGTAATATGTGGGGAAGTTGCACAATGCCATCAGCCGGTGTTATCAACAAGATATCTCATTTTAGAGTTTTATTTTCTGTGGAAGTATCTATAGTGGCAATTATAAATTTTCTAGGACTTCATGCTGAGGCTTCTTAAGTGTCTAACTTAAAACTGATTAAGCTTTTTTCAGTGTTTCTAAGGGTCCTGGTCTATGAGTGTTTTATAGAAAGTTCACATTGGAAAGGGTCAGGCTGTGGTATTTCTTTCTGATCATTTTGTCCTGTACACCAAGGGTGCCTTTGAGATCAATCTCCACCCCTAACTTTGAGGCTGCCAATGAGTGTTCTGTTCTCCTTCCTTGGAACACTAGGGAAGTCGAGGCCAAGACAGAAGGAAAGGAAATCTTACCCTTTGACCCTGGGAAGCCTTGCCTGCCTATGCTCAGGCCATTCAAGTCTCCAAGATAGGCTGGAATCGCTCGCCTTTCCCAGTAACCCCAGGTCATCTTCAGCTCTCTCCTTCGTTTCCTCCTTCTCCTATATTTCTCCCCCTTTTCATCTGTCCCACTCCCCCAATCCCACACAGACTGCTCCAGGCAGCACACCCTATGCAGAGTCTCACCACACTCTCTTCTCCCTGAGATCCTTTAAAAATGAGTAAGTTCCTCCAACTTGAAAAGAATGTGCACGTAGATGATGCTAATAGTGGCTGTGCCAGGCCCTGGTCTGGGCACTTGACTGCCGACCACTCATACACAGCACTAACCCTCTGGGTCAGGCGAGGGGAGCCCCACGCTAGGCAATCGGGCCAAGAAGGCCAAATTCCGAGTCCCACGCTGGTGAGTGGGTAAGTTCGAAATCCAGATGGCCTGGTTCCTGGCTCTCTGCTGTTACATACCATGTACACCACCTCTCAAGCTTTCTCCTTGATTATGAAGGCAAATCATACCTTTTTTTTTTTTTTTTTTGAACTTGGGCCCTTGCAAGGCAGGCAGTAGAATCACTTGAGCCAAATCCCTGGCCCTCATACCAATTTTTAAAAATGTATAAAAATCCAAAAAGTAATTAGAAATTTTTGATTGGCAGTAATGCTGCTATTATGGCCTTTCTGGACTTTTCTGTTGTATTTTTTTATTATTCATAGCCTCTCCATGAGGCAGTTTCGGATGAGTTTGACCAAACGGTTTCTTCCTTCTCTTCACTCATTCCTTTCCCATCCACATATTTCTTTTTCTTTTTCTTTTGTTTTTTTTTTGGAACAAGGATCACTTGTCGCTTTTGGCAACTTTACAAGGTCGAGCTTTTGTTTGTTTTTGTTTTTTTCGGTAGAACAGCTTCAGAACCTATCGTTGTAAAATTAGGTTCTCCTCTACGTGTAACAAACAAGGTGTCCCTCTGAAAAGTACACATGTCCCTCTGGAGGGTCCCATCGAAAGCATCTGTTATGACCTGGATGTTTTTGCACAAGGAAACATGGCGCCTACAGAGGGAGTATGTAAAACTGGGGGATCACTTTTAAAACCAATAGTAACTTTACTTCTTCCTGGCAGGTGAAATGGCTGCAACAACAAAAAGTAAAGCGCAGGGTGAAGAGACAGGTGCGAAGCGACCCTCAGATCCTTTATTTCAATGACCCCATTTGGTCCAACATGTGGTACATGGTGAGTAGGATGCGGGCCTCTCTCTGCCTCCTGCCCCGGGGCCTTTGCAGTGCTGTTTCCAGCATGGCTGAATTTCCTCAACCAAGCTAAATCCCAAGGACACTCCAGACAGACACACTTTTTGTCTTGGGTGCAGAGCTCCTTCTTCGAGAGGAATTTACTTGTGACTCGTTTTTTTTTTTTTTTTTTTTTTTTTTTTTTTTTTTTTTTATTTTCTGAAAGTCCCTGAAGGTCCAGGGAACTCCTGGGGTGGGAAAGCAGTTTGACGCGGGCTGTAGCACTTGCTAAGTGAGTGAGAGAGAACGCCCCAGGAAGATGATAGCCAGGGATCCGGTGGAGAAGGAGCCAGGGGGGAGAAGCAGGGTCTCGGCTGTCTAAATCAGGGGCCGCTTTTTCCTCCTCCCGACTTGCAAGCAGCGTGGCCTCTGTGGCTTTGCACCCGTGCCCTTCCCGCATCAGGAGCTTTGTGTCTTCTATGCAAACAGCACTGTGGTGATAAGAACAGTCGCTGCCGGTCAGAAATGAACGTCCAGGCGGCGTGGAAGCGGGGCTACACGGGAAAAAATGTGGTGGTCACCATCCTGGACGACGGCATCGAGAGGAATCACCCAGACCTGGCTCCAAATTATGTAAGTGATGACTCGGAACTGACGCGAAGATTATCAGACCTATTAAATACATACAGAATTAAAAACCAGTAAATAAAAGATCGTCTCTTACTAGAGTAAGCAGTAAAGGAAGCTGCTGGAGAGGGTGGGATAAACAAACCTTCTGCCACTGGCTGTGGTCCTAGTACCAGGGAGGGGGGCTGTAGACGGCAAGTAGGTGGGCTGGACCACAAGTTTCAGGAGTTGCACTCCTAGGAACGGAGCCCAGAGAACCAAGGAGCACGTGCATAGTGGTGGTCATCGTGCAGATTCTGGCTGTGTGAGCGACTGTAGGATTAGATGTGGGCGCTGGACTCGGACAGCCTGGGCTCCTGTCCTGGTTCTGCAACTCATTAGCGCTGAGATCTCGAGCGAGTTGCTTAATTTATCTGTACCTTAAGTGCTGCCATATGTAAAATGGCTTAAAAAAAATGCTATACTCTAAGGAATGTGTGTGCTTAACAGCAGTTAAGTAAACTATATTGTGTCCACTTGGTAGATATGACAGAAATGAGTTTTGAAGTCTGTGTCAGTAGCACTGGAAAGTTTTTGTGATATGTTTTCAAAGGACAATAAATTATATGACTACTGTTGCTATAAACGTGTAAACTGAAACATATTAAGGTACATAGTTTTAAGAGTTGTCACAGTCCTAGAGACAGGAAATAGAGTGGCAGTCGCTGGAGAATGGGAGAGAGTTGGGAAGTTGGTGTTTCATGGTACAGAGTTTCAGTTTTGCAAGATGAAAAATTTGTGGAGATTGTGGCAGTGCTACGTGAATGTGCTTGATTCACTGGATTTGAAAGGTGGCAGATTTTATGCAATGTACATTTTACCACAATAGAACAATCTCTCGTCTCTCTCTCTATATAAATATATAACACTTAGTAGGAGAGAAACTGTGTAACTGTATAGCTTTCCTTATTTTCCAAGACAGGCAGAAAAATAATTGAGAACAGGACTGTAATACACTGTGCCATCTCTCTTCATTCACCAAGATTTAATTCCTAGGATTCTTATGCAAGTTATGACGTCAACGGAAATGATTATGACCCATCTCCTCGATATGATGCCAGCAATGAAAATAAGTACGTCACTTTATCTTCTTTTCCCTTGCTTCTCTGTTCCTCTCCCTGCAAAATTACTGTTGAATTTCCACACATTGGCCCCTGGACAGGCGATGGGTGCCGTTGGGGGTCATCCAGGCGTCAGGAGCCGTGCCCGCATCGCCCTCTGGCTCAGGGTGGCCTCTGTGGAGACAGCCATTTCCTTCAGTGTTGCCACGCCTGCTGTCAGCTAGAAGTAGATGTTCTCGCGTCCAACCCTTTACATCTCCAGTTTCATCATCGACTGTGTAAGACATAGGCTTGGTATCTGAGCATGCAGGTCACATGCCTGAGGTTTCCTGACCCCCTCGACCTTATGAGCAAGGTGGAAGGGAAGGAATGATGCTAGAAAAACCTGTGCTCAAATCCCAGCTCTACCCCTCCCTGGCTGTGCAGCGCCATGCACATTGAGGGACCTTTTTAAAACTTTGTGTCTGAATGGCTTCTCCATGGAGGTGACAGCAGCACTTCATGGGGTTGTTGGGAGGGGTAAATGAGGCGATGGGTGAAGCCTGCACAGTTGGAGGCTCAGGAAACCTTGGGGGTCGTTGACATCGCATGAGATACCTGATCTCTCCAGGCCCCACCATTTGGTAACTGCAGGTGCCTGTGCATCGTGAATGTCAGCCCAGTGCTGTGCCTGTGTCCCTTCCCTGGCAGTGTGTCTTTCAGAAGTATGTACTGGAAAGTAAAGAAGCCCTTTCTTCCTTCCGCGCTGTTGACAAGGTGCTTGCTCTTGTGTTCTCCCACTGTGGCTGCGGTAGTTCACTTTCGGTAACTATCACACAACACCTAAGGTTACTCACTTATAGAGAGAGATTAAGCTGAACACAATGGCACACACCTGTGGTCCCAGCTATTCAGTGAGCTGAATCAGGAAGATCACTTAAGCTCAGAAGTTTGAGACCAGCCTCGGGAAACAAGTGAGACGTGTCTCTGACAAGGGGGAAAAGGTTTATTATATCTCACAATGCAGGAGGTTCCAGCCCATGGTTCATTGACCCTATTGGCCACAGCACACCATGGGGGCCACATCGTGGAGCAAAACAGCCCACCTCCTCAGCTAGGAGGCAAAAAGGAAAGAGTGAGGGCCGTGGGTCCCAAATCCCCTTTGAAACCACCTGGCAATGATTTAGGGACCTCCCACAAGGCTGCTCCTCTTACAGGTCCACGGCACTGCCCTGTAGTGCCACCCTGGGGCCAGTCCTTTATCCCACGGGCACACAGCATCCCTACCATAGCAGTGGTGTTTCAGCTTGTAGTTCATTGCATTTCGAGGCTCAGAGCCAGTGAGCACATGACGCCGTGCAGGGAGACTGGCAGGACCAAGCTGCTGGGTCCCACGTAGTAAGTCACAGAGCTTCCCAGAGTGAGGCCTTAGCCCTGAGGGCCGCTTTCCTTGCCACATGTCCCAGGGTGCCCTTCCTGCCCAACAGTGAGGATGCCTGGGGCTAGAGGCCTGTTTCCTGGTCACTCGCAGTCCCCCAGGGAGGTATGATCCATACCCCACACAGTGGCCCTTGAAAGGTCAGGACTGAAGCCCGGCGTGAGCCACCAAGCTATGTGACCCTGTAAGCAGCCCTGGCCTCGGGGCTCTGAGAGTTCGAGAGAAGGACAGATGACTTCCGTCCGCAGAGCGAGCACGCAGACCCAGGACCTTTTTTTTTTCCTCATTGAGTTTATTGGTACATTTTAGGTATACAGTACAGTTACATTCATCATTGGATCTTGTACCTTTACATGACAGGTCTTGGTTCTCATTTTTTCCTCTTGTCCCTGCCCTCCCTTCACCCCCTCCTCCCCTCCCCATTTACAAACATTTTATTTTCATTTTTTCATTTTCTCCTATTTTTTCTTTCCCTTATTACCTTTCCCCTACCCTTCCCATTTTCCCTGCACCTTTAGCCCTTTTCTTCCTATTTCACATTATCAATTATCTCATTAGGATCTTATGTACTATTATAGTTTATTCACACCAGAGAAACTATTCGGTATTTACATGTGTGACTTATTTATTTCACTTAGGAGTATATCATCAATATGTATCCATTTTCCTATGAATGAATCTAATTTCTCATTCTTTATGGCCGAGTAGTATTCCATTTTATAGAAAAACCACATCTTCTTTATCCAGTCTCCAACTGATGGGCAAATGGGCTATTTCCAAGTTTTAGATATTATAAACTGTGCTGCTATAAACATAGGTACACATATATCACTGTGACATGATTCTTCTAATTCTTTTGGAAAGATACCCAGCAGAGAGAGAAATAGCTGGGTCAAATGGAACCTCTAGTCCCAGCTCTTTGAGTTATCTCCATATTGATTTTCACAGTGGTTGCACTAGTCTGTACTCCCACCAACAGTGGAGAAGGGTTCCTTTCTCCCCACAACCCCACCGACATTTGTTATTGGTTGATTTCTTGATAGCAGCCATTCTTTGTGGGGTGAGGTGACCTTTCTCCCCAACCCCACCGACATTTGTTATTGGTTGATTTCTTGATAGCAGCCATTCTTTGTGGGGTGAGGTGGAATCTCATTTTTAAAGGCAGCTTTAAATTCGAATCAGTGCTGCTAGTCACCCGTGGACTCTTCTCCAAGATGTGCTATTTAGAGTCCCCCTTACGTTTCTGCCTCTGCTAGAGGAGCTGACCTGCTGTGGTACATCAGAGCATGGGGTCATTCCTGAGAAAGCCGTTTGTTTTTCTGGTAATTTCTTCATCTGCCCCCCAAGCTGCTACTGAGTGTTCGATTTGGAGCATCTTTCCCTGGCTCCTGCTTAAGTGGCCGTAGAAATGATGAGAGGGCTGTCCAGGCTGAGTGTGATGTGGTAGGTACACAGGGGATGAGATGTAAGACATCAGAACAGCGTGTTCTTCCTCTCGTCCCGTCGGTCAGGCATTGATGCCGCTGCTCCCGGGGACCAAGTGATGGGTTATTAGTCACCGGAGACACTGAGCTGAGACAGCACGTCCCTGAGCCGGAACAGCAATGGTCATGAGCCAGTGATGGTGCCGTGAGGGGGAAGTGAGCGGACACAGGCGCTGGGAGCAGGTGCCCCTGACATGGAACTCAGGGGGAGTGTCACGGGAGAGACAGGCCGTGAGCAGGGACAGGTGGCAGGAAGGCCCAACTGTGCCAATGCTCTCTCTTAGAGGAGAGGTCATAACACAGTGCAGAAAGTGGGCTTAACTGGCATCCTCAGCCAGAGGGACTTGTGTGCAGTGCGCAGAATTGCTTTACAGTGCCAAGCCAGGCCTCACAGTGTTTTCTCTTTTGCTTCAGACATGGCACGCGCTGTGCAGGAGAAGTTGCCGCTTCAGCAAACAACTCGTACTGCATCGTGGGCATAGCATACAATGCAAAAATAGGAGGTAAGGCCGGGTGCAGAGGGGCCTGGGGCCGGGCACCACATTGAGAGCTGCTTTTCTGCAGGGCTTCTCAAACCTGAGTCCTGTTGCTCTGGCCTTGCCAGACTCCTGGGCTAGAAGCAGCCGTATCAGCTGTTCAGCGGCCCTGGCAGCTGGAACAAGTGGTTGGAACTTAGGGACAGAGGAATTGCTCATTTTTTTCCCTGAAAAGCCACTGTCTGATCACCCCTTCTAAAAGTCTGTTCCTCTGTGGCTCCCTGTCCTTTCCCAGACAGATCAGTCTTTCCCTGGCACTAAGGCCTTTCCAAGGCCCTGAGTCCCACTCCAGCTGTAGCCCACCTCTACTCCCCCGTCCGTTGGCTTCAGCAGAAGGACATTTATCCTAGGGCCATGGATAGTCCCATTCTTCCCTATTCATGCATGGTTTCGTGCCATTCCCATCCCTGCCTTTCCCTGCCTCTCACATGGCTCCGTCTACCTGTGACACTCAGCCACCTCGTGCCTGCCATGCTTGGTGAAGTCCTACCCACCAGCTGTTCCTCTACCCCTGGCTTGCTCCCCAGGGTCAGCTCTGCCAGTGCACAGCCCTGGGTGCTTCTGGCTTTCTTCCAGGTGTGTCTGGCTGTGTTATTTAGCTTCTCACATTGCTAAGTCAAGTTGCCCCCAGTTAGAGTAGGGCTTTGGAGCAAAGGATCTCATGTCCTTTAGTGCCCCACTGGGTGCTGGTAGTGTGACAGCTCAGTCACCAGGTGTTCTGAAGTGCCCAAGAGGCACCCATCACTGAGCAGAGGGCCAGAGGAGAGGGTGCCAGACAGCCTCAGGGTCTGCAGACCTCGTCGGCAAGGTGTGTCCACCCCTCTGTTGGCAGATGCACTTGGTCACCAGAAGTGATTTGTCTTTCTCCGAGTGAGCAGGTAGATCCCACCTTTGGGGCTGTGTGAGACTTGCTTTTCCAAGGGCCTCTTCCCGGCTGCCTTTGCATCAGCTGGGATCTGTTAGAACTACTGAGTCCTTGATCCCACTTCAGACTTGTCAGCCAGAATCTGCATAATAACAAGATCCCCAGAGGATTATCTACAGGTGATACTCTGAGAATACTGGCTTTAGAGATTTCTCTAGGGCCAGTGGGTAGGTAAGATTGTAAGGAGGAGTCAGAGGAAATAATGCCCACAAAGAACTGATTAGCAGGCTAGGAATGTGGCTCAGTGGTAGAGTACTTGCCTAGAGTGCAAAAGAAGCAAAAGAAAGAAAGAAAAAAACAGCTTCTTATTAGATAGCTCTATGCTCATGGCAAAATTATAGAGCTAAGTTTCTCAGATTCTGGAGAGAGAGCACATTCACTTGCAGAGCTTGGGAAGAGGAATATTTTTTAAATTAATGCATGGAATACCTTTAAGCTTGTATTATGTGTATAGTTCTGGCATAGCCACCAAGGGGGAAAAGAAGGAAATGACACACAACTTGGGCCTGCATGAGCTCAGCATGTCTTTGGGGTGAACAGTACTGACATGGAAGGTCGTACAGGGCCAAGTACTGATGTGAGGGGGCAGATGGGAAGCCCCAGGTATGGCAGGCCAAGTCCTCCACGTGGTGGAAGCATGAGGACATGCCATGAACTTGACTTGTCAGGGGATCTGGTTGTAAATGGAGGGGATACCAAGGAAACAATGGGAACTGCAGCATGGAGCTGGGAGGAAGTGCGCCACCTAGGGACAAGGAACGTGAGGTGGGCCTGGTCACAGGAAGACAGGCATGGCGTTGAAGCTGTCCTTGACCCAAGGAACCTGTACACAGCTTCAGCCTCTACATACCCTCTCCTTCCCTCTCCCTCAAATCCCACCCCTGGGTAGAGCCACCTTTGGGTGCCTCTGACATAGGATAACCTCCCTCTCTGAGTGTCCTTGAGCATAGCAGCAGATTTTTCTAAGATGCCTCTGGGGCCGGCCATAGACTTACATCTCTGCCTCTTTTTCATTTTCAGTTGTTGCTCAAGAGATCATACTATGTACATGTATAAATGTATACATGTATAATAATATTATACATAATGTGTATCCATATTATCCACGATGTTATCCATAATATTAGAGATCATAATATGTACCTTAACTTATCCCAGTCTATCTGGAATTAATAGTATACTATTTGATATATACTACATGAATCTAAATCACTCTTACTCTTTGCATTGTTGCTTTCATATATTTTCCTTCCTATGTTATAAACCCACAGACATTGTTATTCCTCTTTTAAACAGTCAACTTTGAAGTACTTATGAAAAGAAACAATGCTTACCTGTATATAACCCCTTGCTCTTCCTTGTTTTTTCTAACTTCATATTTCTATCTTGTTCTATTTCTCTTCAACCCAAATGATTTCTTTTAATATTTTTTGAAGTTTCTCCCACAGATGGTAAGAAATTCTCTCAAATTATACCTGGAGGTATCTTTACTTTCTCTTCCTTTTGGAGATAAATTTTGCTGATCACAGAATTCTACGTTGACATACTTTTCTCTGTATTCTGAGAAAATGTTATTCCATTGCCTTCTGGTATCTGCTGTTTCTGGTGACAAGTCAGTCGTCCACCTTATTCCTGTTTCCCTTTGTATAATTTGTTCCTCTGGCTGCTTATATGATATTTCTTCTGTTGTTCTTTGCCTGTGACTATAAGACCCTTTTGTAGAATTTTGTTCATATTACTACAGCTTGGCGTTTGCTGTGTTGCTTAGTGGTGTTTTCTTTAATCAAATTTAGGAGATGTTTTGTTGGTATTTTCTCCCGTTTTAGAATTCCATTTTCTCTTCGCCACTCTTTGGGTATTAGTTATAATTGTTAGACTTTTTCATACCCCTCACAGCCTATTGAGGCTGCACTCATTTTCAAAATTTCTTTGTTTTTTTCTAAGTGCTTCTAATTAGATAATTTTTATTACACTGTTTTCAGGTTCACTGACTCTGTCTTTTGTTGTGTCCAGTCCATTCTTTAGTTCTATATAATGATTTTAAAAATGTTTCGATCTCATACTTTTCTGTCTTTTGGCTTCCATTTGACTCTCTTTTACCACTTACACATCTCTTCTGAGTTCCTCATCTCCTCACTCGTTATATCCATCTTTAGACTCTTTAACAGGGTGACAAAAGTCACTTCTTAAAGTCTTTTGTACTAATTTCTAAGACCTTTCAGCGTATGTTTCTAATGATTGATTTTACCCTTTACAATGGGTCACATATTCCTTTGCACTTCTTTAGTAATTTTTTATTGTATGACAGATATTTTTATACTGCATTGTAGAGACAGGATTCTGTTGTCCTTTCCTCAACACTGTAGAGTTTTGTTCTAGCAGTCATTTAAATTTGAATTTTTAAAGTTGATTATTCATTTTTTATGCTTGGTCTCTTGGATTGGCCCCCTCTTAGGGATAATCTCCTAGTCTGGGCACATAGTCTTTGTTCCTATATAACATCATCCTTTTGGTATTTCAGTGGAAAACCTGAAATGTTTACCAAGACCCCTAACTTAAAACCATAAATGTCTTCCCCTGCTGTGAGTAGTTGCTGAATTATCTGTTCAGCTCATTGAGCCTTTCAGCTGTTGTTCCTCCTGGCCTTTTTAGAGTGTTGTTCACTCTGTGTTTAGTTCAGGGGCCAGACAATTGCTTAATGGGGATATATATTCCTTCTTCTGTAGCTCTCTCCTCCCTGAGACCTCTCCTCCCAACTTCCAGCTACTCTGTAGTCCCCAAATCCATCCAATACCCTTATTAAAGGATAATAAAATTATGCTTTCCCAAAAGTATTCTAGCCCCTCTACAATAAGAGAAATGGGGAGATCCCACGAGGAAAAGTCATCTAAACTTGGATCGTATGCAAGTATGGTTCTCTGCTTTCAAGAGTTGAGTCCATGCCTTCCTTTGCCTCCTTCTGATTGTAGTCCAATACTCTTAAAAAGCTTTTTTAATCAGTATTTCTCCACTGTTTAAATTATTATCTTTAGCTCTCCCTTGTTGAAATTAAAACTTGTGGTTTACATTTTTCAACTAGATAGATTGTGTATTACTGTCCATTACTGCATAATCGCCATCCCCAAATGCAGCTCCTCCTTAAAACAGTAAGCATTTGTTCTCTGACACGGAGAGTGGCTTCATCGAATGGGTCTGGCTCCGGGTCGCTCACAAAGATGTCATTTGGCTGTTGGCCATGACTGTAACTGAAGGCTTAACAGGGCTGAAGGATCTGCTCCCAAGTGGGGCCATGCTTATGTGGCTGTTGAGGAGGGGCTGTAGTCCCTTGCTGGCTGTTGAGGAGAGGCACTGATTGATCATCATGTGTACCTCTCCCTACGGTTGTTTGAGTGACCCGCATAACATAGCTTCCTTCATTCAAGGTGATTCAAAAGAGAAGATGAGGAGGAAGTATCCGTGTCTTTTGTGACCTAGTTTCAAAAGTTGCACACCAGCTCTTCAGCCCTACTCCACTCGTGAGAAATGTATCATTCAGTCTAAGAAAAGGGAGAGAAATTTCATCACACCCCTTGAATGGAAAAGTGACAGAGAATTTGTGGACATAATTTTAAATCACCACAGATGGGCTCCTAAAAATTTCACTGCATTATTTATACAAATGCTTACCAACTTTTCTTTATGAAAATCTCACGTTTCTTTTTAAGTTTTATCACATAAAAATAATTAAATGAAATGAAAGCAGTAATAGAACTGTCCAAATTATATCTTATGAAACAAACTCCCCCAGCTGCTAGCACCCCAGCCATATCTCTCTGTCATCTCATCACCCACACGGGGAAGAAATACGCATTCTCAGGAATCCACAGAGGCTCATGCTGTTGTCACTGATTCAGAGTGGAGCCTGGGCTACATCTGTGTGTTTAACTGGGAGTCTCTCAGTATTTCATTTTAGAGAAATTTTAAATTTTTATGAAGTTGTTGAGCTCCACATGGATGATTTGTGCTCTCCTTCTGTATGTAATATTTCCATTAAAATATGTTA